CCTGGAGCAAGGCTCCTCCTCACAGGAAGCACCACCCACACACTGGCCTGAGGCGAGGTCCTGCCTAGGCCTCTGGGCTGCTGTCTGGCCTCAGGGGGTCCTTGGGGTACTCAGGTACTCGGGTACTTGGGTACAGGGGCAATTGCTTAGAATCTTGCTGTCCTCTCTTCCATAAATTGATTTGTTCCCTGTTTAAAGGGCCAGGAAGAGAATGCAAATTCAGGTCCAAAGTTCATTTGGGGAAGTAAGTGATAGTTCACTAATTTTTCTGGTTAAAGTGAGTCTTGAGTTTAAAAAATGTGAGATTTTAGCAACAAAATTGGAATCTTCTGGTCAACTGAAAGAAGAGATTAGGTGCCAGGTGTGGTGGTGCATACCTGTAAGTACAGCACTCTGGGAGGCTGATGCAGGAGGCTGACAAGTTCAAGCTCAGCCTGGGCTGAGTGACTTAGCCCCTTAATATAGACAAATAAGATTAAAAAAGGTCTGTGGATGTTGCTCAGTGTGAAAGTTCTGGATTCAATCTCCAGTACAAAAAAAAAATTAAAAGATGAGGTTAGGTGTCATTTACTGAGCATCTAGTAAGTGCTGGGCATTCCAGAGATGTTTTCTGTAGGGTGACAACTAGCAGGCAGAAGTTTTTCCATTTTATTGATGAAAACACTCAAGCCTTGAAGGCCTTCCCATGGCCAGAGTTTATAAGTAAATGACAGGCGCAACTCAGGCCCCAAAGGCTGGCTCTCCTGGCTGTCACCTCAGGGAAGACCCCCAGGACTCCCCAGACCTTACCTCCTACCCACTCTGGTCACTGACAGCAAGGAGGTACAGCCCTCCCTGCCTTATCCTCTGTAGCCCCAGAGAGAGAGCAAGCCTGGATTCTCCTGGCCCTTCTGTGTGCACGAAGAGCTACAGACTAGAAACTCAGTATCTGCTTTCTGTCCTTTTTTTTTGTGGGTGGGTGCTGAGGATTGAACCCAGAACTTTCACACTAAGTTAATCCCTAGAGCACTTTTTATTTTGTGACAGTCTCATGAAGTCACTAAGTTCAGGTTGAGTCATGAAGTTGCTCACACTTGGAATCCTCCTGCCTCAGCCTTCCAGCTGTCCAGTTCCACTCCATCCGGTTCCCCTTGGGCCTTATCCCGCAGGTCAGGGAGACACTGAGTTGCCACATTCCCTTCGGCCAGCAGCGCCCCTACCTCATCTTCACTCTGTGCCGGCATCCTTCCGCCTAGCCTGTGGCTATACCCAGCCGGCTCATTCGCTCCCACATGATCCAAGGGCAAGTGTGATGAGGCTGTCGTCCTGCCGCCTCCACGCACAGCTCACTTCCAGGGGCGAGCACAGCCCTGGTGCAGCCTGGGAGCTGTGCTTCTCCATTTCAGCCATGGGAATGGCGGCCTTTTCAGGGGACGGGAGGGTTGTACCAGCTGCTTCCCCAGGTGAGTCCAGGTGCAGCGACACCTGTCTTCCTCTATGCCACCAACAGGGATGCCACAGAACCCTCTGCCTGGGGCCCTGCTGAACCCTGAACAGGTCACCACCTGTGTCAGGGAGGGCTGAGCAGCCTAAAGGGAAAATACAGTGGTCCCCTTAGCCCCCAAGCTGCTTTCTTCAATTTCCATTACCCATGATCATCCAGTGTCAATTTTTGTTTATTTATTTGTTTTGACAGCATTGAGGACAGGGCCCTGTGCCTGCTGGACAAGTGCCCTACGCTGAGCTGTACTCAACCCCAGCTTGAATACCTTACAAGGAAAATTTCAGAAATAAAACAGCTTCTGAATTTTAAGATAACTTTTACCTATAGCACATTGTTGTAATTATTTCATTTCATTATCTTACTTATTGTTAGCCTCTTACTGTGCCTATTTTATCCATTGGACTTTTTCACAGGCGTTATGTGTAGGGAAAGAAAGTACAGTAGGGTGCCGGCTGCGAATTCATATACCTACTGCGAGTCTTAGAACATACCCCTGAGGATCGCGGACTGTGGTCAGGAAAGCTGGGGACCATCCAGCAGGGCAGGCTTACAGATTTCTGTGTTTTCAGGTCCCCCAGAATGTGCCAGCAGTCCCACAACCCAGAGCATCTCAGACCCCAGCCCCTTCGTAGATGCAGGATGCTGGGGGACGTGTCTGAGGGGAGCAACATCAGTGCACACACAGAGCTCACTGCAAGGCCCCCTCTAGCCTGGTGACAGGCAGTAACTCTCTGTGACGGGGTCAGCCACTCAGCGGCTTCCATAGTCTGAGGGCTGCAGTTTCCGCACAGGCTGCCCTGTCTCAGGGTGCCCAGTGCATGTGTTTTCTCCCTGCACCCGAGCCAGCCTAGTGAAAGACGGCTTTAGACCGGGTGCCAGGTGTATGTGAGTCACAGATACCAGGATCCAAATGGTGTGTAGATGAACACAGATGTGTTTGTGTGTATGTGTGGTTATTTTTTTATTTTTTGCTCCACTGCACTTAAGTCATATTTTCCTATCCTCTGATCCAAGCTCTAAAAGCATTTTGTGGTATAAAATCTCCCATCATTTGATCCCCTCTACCGAAATAAACCAGCTCCCCTGCCGTCATCTTCCCTGAAAAGTGCCCGTGCGTCATGCTCTGAGGCTGGCAGGGAGAGGCTTTGCCCGCTTCAAAACACTTCACCATAATCCCTGCTGCACGGCCCATCCTCTTCACTCCCTGGAGGGCTGCTTCGGTTTCTTGGGTTGTTATTACTGGAATGCCAGCTGCTCCGCTTACAACCCGTCCACACAGAACCGTTCTGTCTAAGCAAGGCTGCCTTGCAAGCCTCTGCTTAGCTCATCTCATGGAAATATCATTTAAAAAATAAGTGCCAGTTCCATCTGCCCTTCCCTCCTGCCTCTGCTGTGTTTCTGGCCCGCCCACCCCTTGGCACTGATTGATCTAGTACAGCGCTGCCATCTCCCAGAGTCCTGCAGTGGTTGCTTGTCAATAGCTGGCCATTCACCCACTGTGCCTCTGGGGCCACGCAACTGTTCATTGCCTTCTTCGGAGTTGTATGAGAATTTAAATGCACCTTAACTATGTGGCATGGGGGAAAGAGTGGGAGCTCTGGAGCTGGACGCACTTGGCTCAGCCACGCACTCTTGCAGCCTTGGGCGAGCACGGGAGGATCAGTGAAGAGGAACATCCCCCACGGGGCTACAAAGCTCCTGCTGTAGATGGAATTGGTATTTAGGAAGGGTGGAACTGGTATTTAGGAAGTTGGTGCTCAAGGAAACATGTCAAATTTTCTTGCAAACAGTTCATGAACTTAGTTTTCCTCCTATTATTCATGTTTTGATTCTTACAACTCAGAAGAAAGTTTATACGTTGGGCATTTGCTAGACATGGTGGCACTTACCTATAATCCCAGCAGTCGGGAGGCTGAGGCAGGAGGATTGCTGGGAGTTCAAGACCAGCCTGGGCTACAAAGTGAGCTCAAGGCCAGCCTGAACTACATAGCGAGACTCTGTCTCAAAAACATATTATAATAATAATATAATAATAATAAGTTGGGGGGCTGGTGAGATGGCTCAGTGGTCTAAAGCACCTACTTAGAACAGGCTTAGCAAAGCACAGGGACCGCGGTTCAATCCCCCAGCACCACATGCCAGCCAGCCCCGCCCCCTGGTGGGCTGAACTGGCCACACACACACACACACACACACATAAATAAATAAATAAAAATTAAAAAAAAAATAATAATAATAATAAGTTGGGCATTGTAGTGCATGCCTGTAATCCCAGAATTCTGAGAAGCTGAGGTGGGAGAATTGCAAGTTTGAGTTCCTCAACTTGTTTTTGTTTTTTTGTGGTAGCAAGGATTGAATTCAGGACCTTGAGCTTGAAAGGCAAGTGCTTACTCTACTGAGCTATCTCCCCGGCCCGAGTTCCTCAACTTGTGATGGAGTTACTTCCCAGTAAACTTCCCACTGTAAAGTTGAGTGGTACAAGTCAACAATACCTTGAATACAACAGCCCATCCAACACAGTAGCTTAGCCCAGTATACCTTCAACATCTCAGAACACTTGTGTTAGCCCACAATTGGGCAAAGCCATCTTATGCAAAGTATCTCATAATGAAGTGTTGGAATATCTTACAGAATGTATTGAATACTGCCCTGAAAATGAAAAATACTTGGTTGTGTGGCCCCACATTCACACTCCAATGAACCATCACAAGTCAAGCCACGCTAAGCCCAGAGCACACATGGTTCAATTAGGTGGGGCACTTCCTCCTAAGAATCTGTAGGAGGGCATCATGTTAGGAGCTCCAGTCCAGCCACTCGCTGTGGCATTGGATATAGGATTCAGGGTCCCTGTCCCTCTATTCCCTTAGCTGTGCAAAGGTTGTAAGAGCAGTATCAGTGTCCCAGGTTGGCCTTGGGAGCCACTGAGTAGTGGCCTGAAGCATCTCAAATGCAGCCAGCACAGGGACAGCACCTCCTCTGGAAGTATTGGCTGCCCTGCTGCAGTTTTTAGGTGACAGAAAGGTTTGAAACACAGACTTAGGGGCCACTTTCATTCATCCTTATACAGCTGTTCTCAGCAGGGGTGGTTTTGAGAACGTGGAGACATGCAACAATGCTGGGAAACAATTTGGTTGTCCTAACGAGGGGTGAGTGTGGTACTGGCATCTCACCAATAGAGGCCACGGACACTGCTAAACATCTTCCAAGGCACAGAACACAGCACCTTCAGGGTAGAATTTTTTGCTCCTAAATGGGAGAGTGCTGTTAGAAATCCTGCCTAAGGGGCTGGGGAGACAGCTCAGCAGTCTAAGTGCCTGCCTGACAAGCTCAAGGACCCAAGTTTGATTTCCGGTACTGCCTGCCGTGCCAGTGTGCTTGGACCACAGGGCAAGCCCAGTGGCAGTGGTGGGGCAGCATAACTGCAGGAGCAGTGCCCGAATTTCCTGTTGTGAGGGGGTCTGCCTGGTGCTTCCTCCAGCACTGACCTCTGACCCATATCCTCCCTATCCTCTTTCAGATCTGTGCCATCATTGGTGGGACCTTCACCGTCGCCGGCATTCTGGACTCATGCATCTTCACAGCTTCCGAGGCCTGGAAAAAGATCCAGCTGGGCAAGATGCATTGACATCCTGCCTGATCCACTGGCCAAGGGTCAGGGAGACCACCAGCTCTGCCTCCAGCACCCTGTCTCTCTGGCCCAGGATCTGGCTGCATCCCAAAGTGTGTGTGGGAGGTGGGGGGAAGGTAGGAGGTGGTTCCAGGCTCTGTAGCTACCTCTCTTCCCCATGTTTAATGTTAGATAAATAACACTGGCTGGAGTGGTGATATTCCTTTCCTCAGGAGCTCCAAAATGACAGGCAAGGGGTCTCTGCTCTAGGAATGTTGGGGACCATTCCTGAAAGGGCTACAGTCCCTTCCTTCTTAGGGAATAGCCCAGAATCCTTATTGACCAGCTGTCAGCCAGGCTTTGACAATCCTGCAGTGTTTCCCCAACCCCATTTGGACACACTAATCACTTGCTTTCCCCTCTGGGCAGTCAGTCTGGACTCTGGGACCAGGCTGCCCAAAGGTTCTGATGCCTGGAGCCTTCAGTGTAACCTTCCCGTACAAGCCCCTGAGGTTTGACATTGTCGCCAGAGTGCTCCGTTCCACCGAATCTGTCCCTGGCCAGGCCTCATCCCTTATCCCTCCCTCTGTCTAGTGATTCCAAGAAGCAGGTGCCCAGTTGCTCGGGTAGTCTGCCTACTGATGACAGGGTGGGTCACAGATTCCTCTCTCGCTCTTGTTCTTCTGAACACCCGCACCAGTGTGCCTCAGCTGCTGTGCTGTGTGGCACTGACATTTCTTGGTGGAAAGGAAGGCTCCGATGGGAACTACTGAGGCAGGAAGCGGAAGCCATATGACTGGGAAGTCATCTTTAGAGAACCAGATAGATGTGGCTTGTCTGCTTATGTCCACAAGGGAAGTCTCCTTCCCTGTAACCCACCAGTAGTCCTGTCTCAGCCTCTTCTGGACAGCCAGCATTGGTTCTAAGGATGTAGCTGGGGGAACGAAAGAGAGTCAGCCCTTCTTCACCCTTCAGGCCTCCCGCTCTGAGGCTGCCCTTGCAGAGATGCCCAGCTCTTGTATCTCTGCAGCCCAGTATGGCCCAGGTGCCGTTGAGTTCCCCTGCTGGCTGGCCACCCACATTCCTAGCCCTGGGGTGGTGGACCCCAGTGTCTCCCCACTTGCTGCTGAGGGGGGTTCCTACCCCACTGCTCTCTCTCTCTCTCATTCTTCCCTTTGTGTCCTGAAAGGGAAGGGCAGTGGTCGCGGCAAGAATTCCAGCCAGGGAATTTTAGCTATGCTCTCTTGTCCCAGGGAGAGGGCCCTGCCCATTTTTCATTTATATCAAGATTGTTTGCATACTTTTGTAATGAGGGGGAGTTTCCAGTAGAAGGATTTTTTAAATTATCTATATATGATAGCTCAAGTCTCTGCCACTTGTAGATCTTGGCTCTGATTCCAATTAGCAAAGCTGTCCCTTTTGCATATGAGTTGACTAATGTGTGTAAAACTGCCATTGGTTATTTCTGGTATCTGTGGCCACTTGGATGGATTTTTTAAAATTCTGTTCCCCAGTTACCAAAAGGAGTCTGTTTGGTGTGTGAATATGTGCACCTGTACAGGATGACAGGGTGGGGTGGGGGTGGAAAATGTATGGCATGCACATGAGTTGAAATCCTACTTTTATGCATTAAAAAAAAAAAAACTCTGAGGATATGGGGGATGTCAGTTTCCTATGGAAGAGACACCTCTGGCCTATTATTCTTACAAACAAAATCTCCAAGGGAAAAATGTTTTAGTGCTTTCTCCACTCATTGGGTTTAAATAGATTATTAAAGTGCTGATTTTCAGAAGTAATGCTCTGTGGTTCTTTCTGCTGTGGCTGTGGCTGGGTAACTGGGAAGCTAGAATCAAAGTCCAAATGGAAGTTAATTCTAGAAGACAGAATTGGAGATGTTGGAAAAAAGGATCTTTTGGAAACCAAGAGAACCATATAGGATACTTAACTCCTCCAGACTTTTGACCCTTGAGAAATTCTAGTCTCTATGCTGGTCAGTTGAAGGAGAAGGAAAGCTCTTACAGAAGGGGCTTGCTGTGCACAAGTTTGACCATTGGCACCCTTATTCCAAATATTGATAAATGAAGAGAAATCATGGTATCACTGTAGTCTAAGGGGAAGGGAGCTCTGCAGCGCTAGATACCTGGACTCCAGATACCTGTAGGACCCAATTGTGTTTAAATATTGATCAGAAACAAGAATCTTATCTCTGGTTTATGCTGAAGTACCAACTCCTCCTGGTGGTGGGGATGGAACCCAGGGCCTCAGGCATACTAGGCAAGCACTCTACCCCTGAGCTACATTCTTAGCCCGCTGCCTCAGACAGTTATGTTCTAAATTGGGTATTTCAGTGCAAAAAATAAAAATAAAATAAAGCAGGACAGGAAGGGGTGGGGGTGAGTTCATGGAGATAATGGGAAAGTCAAAATATCTTAAAGGAAGCTGTTCCTGTTTTAAATTGCTACAGAATGTTCCTGGCCGGCTGCTTTCTGGCTGGGCAGCCTCAGTGCAGGCCCTTAACCTCTCAGGGCCTGTTTCCCTGAAGTGGAAACGGGGATAGTAAAACAACTACTGTAAGACTTTTATGGTCTGCCACTGAATCAGTGAATGTGTTTTAGTTACACATGCTCATAGCCTACTGGAAGAAAAGCAGAGAATACCATAAAGTTAAAAGAAAAATTAAGGTTTCCCCATAACCCCAGTAAGCAGAGGTGGTTGTTAACATTTTAAGGCTGCCTTTCTGTAAACAAAATAGTTTACAGAAGCATTCATACTGTTCATATTATTTGACAGTTTCCTTTTTCTGTAATTAGTAAACATCTTTCTAGGCTAATAAACATGAAACTTCCGCACCCCCTCCCTGTGGCAGGAATATAACCCAGGGCCTGGAATATGCTAGGCAAGCACTCTACCACTGAGCCACATCCGCAGCCTGGAATCTCATCATTATCTTTCTGGGCTGCAAGATAACAAATAGCTAGATGTGGAGGTGCATGCCTGTAGTCCCTGCACACAGGAAGCTGAGGCAGGAGGATCCTCATGAGTTTAAGGACACCCTGAACTACATAGTGAGACCATATCTTTAAAAAGTAAAATAAGAGGGCCGTCAAGACTGCTCAGCAGTCTGAGCGCCTGCTGAAGGACCCCTGCAAGCTCAGGGACCAGCATTCAATCCCCTGTCCCGCACGTTGCACGGGCCCTGCCCCCAGGTGCAATGAGCCAGGGAAGGAGTCCGGGCATGGTGGCCCTTGCCTGTAATCCCAGTGCTGGGGAGGCTGAAAACAGGAGGATCACTACTAGTCCAAGCTGTGAAGTGAGACCCTGTACCAAATACATTAAAATAAAATTAATAGCCACGGCGAGTATCTAATGGTAGAACATGTTTATGCTTTGCTCCTTCTCACTCAGGTCCTTAATTTTCTCACTTTCTGTAAAAGAAGTGATTCACGACGCTCTTTAACAATGAAATGAGGCATTGTTTGTACACCACCGCTCACCACGGCTGAATGAATCTATAGCTTATCAAGACTGGCCATTCTTATTCACCGTCCAGCAAATAATTTTTCCCACTTATTAAGCTTTTGCTGTGTGCCAGTCATTATGCTAAGAGTTCATTTAATCGCGACAACAAACAGATGACGTATTATCTTTATTCCCTTTTCTCAGATGAGGAGAGTGAGTGATCACAAGACTAAAGATCTTATGCAAAGCTACAGAGCCAGGAAGTAGTGACGCTCCAAAGCCCAAGCAGGTCTGGAGCCAAGTCCCACATTTCCCACATTCTTCCCCACTGCTGCTTCAGTGATATAAAATTCTGCAGTGGGCACTTGCTGTGTGTTAGCTGTGGGTCTCCTAAACCAGTCCCTGGGCAGAAAGGGCACGGAGGCATGTAGAAGATGAGGGCCAGAGGAGTTGTAAGTGAAAGAGTGAACTTGGGAGGGGATGGGTCCATGAGGGCTGCCCTAGGAAGGAAAACCTCTGTTCTATAAACTGCACACCTGGTCTTGCTAGCAGCACCTGCTCCGGAGCTGCGGATGAAAAAGTGAATCTTGACTCAGAGGTCTGAAATAAAATCTAAAATAAGACCAACAGAGACACATGGCCTGACTAGGAGTACCGGTAGATACGTGTTTAGCCATTTCACCACTACCGCCAGGGGGCGCTGCTAAGCCCAAAGAATGTCTAGGATCTGCCTGAACGTGGCTGCTGGTCTTCGAATATTTCCTTTCCGAATGTTGCGGTCCCCTTCTGTTAAAGGATCGCTACAAACTCATGTCTGACCTCCGACCCAAAGTAGGAGAGTCACAGACCGGAGTGAATGGTTGAACCGAAAGGCTAGAAATAAGGAATGAATGTAGGCTTTGAGTCTTGCAAAGAACGAGTCCTTGGATCCCTAACCTAAAAGCAGAGGAGGCTCAAAGCTTTTGCCTTTCCTCTGAGCCTCGGTTTGGGGCGCCTTCGGCGCTGTGCGTCTCCTGGATTGCAGACTGCAGACCTTACAACCCAGAGTCCGCAGCAAGACTGTGAGGAGCAGTGGGGTGACTTCCAATCACAGGGAGCCGAGGGAGGCCCGGGCCGGGCCCGGCGCTGGGCGGGGCTGAGGACCGAGATGGGCATGGCGCGGCCATGTGGGTGGGGCCTGGCGAGAGGACGGAAGACCACAAAGTCCCAGAGGCCAGAGTCTCAGGAAAATAATTGGTCCTCTTCCAAAGCGCTTTCAAATAAATAAATATGAAAACAAGAATGAAGCCACTGACGCGCCAGCCCAGTCGGCCCAGCGATGCACAATTCATGAGAACAAATCCGAGCTGCTGGAACCTACTCCTCATGAATTCATGGCCTAACGGATACAAAACAAAAACAAATCCCTGTAATTTGGGAGGCTGAAGCGGGACTGCAAATTAGACCCCAGTCTGGGCACTGCAGTGATTTTTATTTTTTTTTTTCAGAGTTTTATTGATAAACAGATAGCAATGAGACAGTTTCAAATCAAATCGAAAGTACAGTTTCAACAAATAATACACTGCATATATTCTTCTTAGTGATTAATTGCTGTACAAGATGCGGACTTGTGATCCTATTTACAAACACCATTAGAACAAATCATTCTATTCATTAAGAGAATGCAACTATATATCTATCCCAACCTCTTTGAATACACAGATACAAAATGGACATTCATCGGTATACCCCATTTTTTCTAAGTTCCGTTATTGAATATTATAGGTGTGTAAACTCAGCAAAATATTCTAAAAGAGTCCAGTAGCCCATAATAGCGTTGGGTCTTCTGTTTAACTGGCAATGTCAGAAATTATTGACCTGAGTCCCCCACAGCTCAACTTAACAGCATGGCTTTATTTCTTATATTTCGTCTTCATACTTTTCTACTGGATGGTTAAGACCAAGGTAAAGCAGGACCTATGCAACAAGAGTTGTAGCTTTTTGGTCTGAGAAGGTCAGTGAAATGCCCTCAGGATTTGTCCTGAGATCCTGTACCTCAGATTATAGAACCTTTATCAGTGCAGCCATGTGGATGAGTCACGGCCATTGCTTGGCCAATGTGCTCTCTGTGAACGCCTGAGAGAGTGTCTTCTCCCCATGTGACTCTCCTTAGGCCCACTCTATGTCATCGATCGCTTTCCTCTTTGGCCCCATAATCTCCTTGATCAGAAAATTTGGGACACTACCGAGGTACATGACGTTACAGTACAAGTTCTCATATGTCCTGAGTCTTAATTGACCTTAGAAGGCTAGGGCCAAAATGTTGGCTTTCCTTGTAGCCCTCCTTTTTCTTTAATTTTGGTCTGCAAACTTAGGTTGTTAACCATCCAGAAAAAAAGCTTATTGTTATTATCAAACAATTTGGGCTATCAATCTTTTTTTTTATTTTATTTATTTTGTGTGTGTGTGTGTGTGGCCAGCTCAGCCCACCAGGGGGTGGGGCTGGCTGGCATGTGGTGCTGGGGGATCTAACCGCGGTCCCTGTGCTTTGCTAAGCTTGTTCTAAGTAGGTGCTTTAGACCACTGAGCCATCTCACCAGCCCTGGGCTATCAATCTTAACCTCACTATCTCACTGCATTTCAAACATCTTAGGCATAATAAGGAACAGGTATTTTTCATCAAGTATTGATATGTTGAACTTTAAGTCCCTACATAATATGAGAAAAAAACATTTAAAAATTAGATTATATTTTAAAAAATAGGATAAAGAATTCTATGCTTCTCATGTTTGCACGTAAGTCCAAAAATCTCACCATATACAACCTTGAAGCAGGACAGTCCCACAATATTCCTTTTCCTGTCTCTTGCTTTCATTCACCACCCCCTTCTTCTTGAACATCCATTTACCCGAGAGACATCTTAGCAGCAACTGGCATGTCATGACAAGCCGCCCATATTCAGAATACCACAATGACAGGCACTCCCAACATGAAACAACTGTTACGAATTACCATCTGCAGTGCAGTAGCTTAGTTCCCAGGTATCAGTATATATAGTTAGTCAGGGTGAGAATCTTTCCAATTAACTCCTAGATAAAAGAGTCTTCTGAATATTCTCAGGATCATTGCCTTGCTCATCTTTTACATATAACTGCATGGCTTAACATTGCCATGTTTCCTAGCTCATCTCCTTTCCCTCTCTTGATTAGTTAGTCCTTGAGAACTGCAGTGATTTAGATAGACAGGATTGCCCTGTGTAGCCAGGTTGGCCTCATGTTCGAGGTGGGCCTCGTCAGCTTTCTGAATGCTGGAATTACAGGCATGCACCACCACTCCCAGCTAGAGAGATTTGTTTGAAAATACAAAATAAGATAAGAGGATAGAGGTGTATAGCTCAATGCAGAGGTCCTGGGTTCAATCCCTAATCTCTGGAGGGGAAAAACCAAAAAGACTTCTAGAGTGTAAATATGTTTCTCTGGATTGAATGTAAGTGCTGTATCCTTCCCCCCGTCCCCCCCAAAAAAAAAGAAAGAAAGAAAAGAAAAAAGCCGGGCATTACAGGCACATGCCTGTAATTATAGCAGTGTGTGAGGAGCAGGGAGACAGGATTGTTCAAGTTTGGGGTCAGCCTGGCCTACAAAGTGAGCTCAAGGCCAGCCTGAAATGCATAGTGAGACCCTATCTCAAAAAGACAAAAAAGGGGCCAGGGAGATAACTCAATAGAGTAAGCGCTTGCCTGGAAAGTGCAAGGCCTTGAGTTCAATCCCCAGTAGCACCAAAATAAATAAATAAATAAATAAAAAATAAAATTAAAAAGGAGAGGCAGCATACTTTGCCAAACAGCCAGAGTGGCACATTTCCCCATTTGTATTAAATACAGAAAGCTAACACTTGCACCATCAGGATTAATGACAAAAGTCTAAGTATGAAGTCTCTGGGAAACATGAGGGCCTGGCCTTAGGACTCTCCTGGAACAAGCCCCACACACAGAGTTCTGGTCAGATTAAGAAAAATCTGACTGGAATTCAATGCTATATGCCAGGCACTGTTGTAGACACTCTAAATGGATTAATTTATTAATCCCCACAGCAACCCTATGAGGCAGCTACTAAAATCATCCCCATTTTAAAGATGAGAAAACTGAGACAAGCGTGGAGGTCATCTCCAAAGCTCTAATAATGATTAGAAAAACACTTTGGTAAAGGAGGTAAAGGTCTGGCTCTGCAACCCTAGCCTTTTGAATAGGGCGAAACAATTGGCAAGGGGAGAGTTTTGCAAAGCCAGTCATTTGATTCACAATGAACCTTACATATTGATGCACCTCAAAAGGTTTAGGAAGTGAGACGGTTCTTGTTTTTTTTTTTTTTTTTTTTTT